CGCTCATAGTTTTATGAAAGTTGTTCGAAATAATTTTGATGCAACCAAATTCAAAGATGCCGTCCCCAGAGTGGATGAATTGCAAAATGCATGAGCATTCTACAGTGAAATTGTAAACCAACTGTGAATGAGCCAATTGTACCATAGTAAGTCTTAGCAGCCTACATATCTTTTTATACCAACTGGAATGATTCCAAGCTAGCTTTCAGTGGAGTTCGGATTATTATGGCTTGGGAGATCCCTAAAACCATTTCAGTACAATGTACATCAAGGTATTGGATCAAATTACACATTTCAAAAAATTTCCTGCACTGTATAAACTTTTTGTGATATATCCTTTCATCTGGGAGATGTAAGCATTTGACAAAACTGTGATTCTGAGAATATAACAAATTACAAATCCATAAAGTAAATTAGAGAATTAGTCCACCACTACCAGTGTAAAAAATAAGCATAGGCTAAGCTTACTCATGGCCGTACCTGTTTTTCGCTGGGCCTGAGGCGAACTTCAAGATCTGGGCCCTTGAGTCATAGCAGACTAACCCCATGATCACCAGCTCATGCCTCCAAACTTGTCACAGCTTCTGGTACACTTGATTTCCCTTAATTTTAGCTATCTCTGGTTAATATTTCCACTCATTTATATCACTGTAAAAACTCACAGTACCTCAAATAGAAGGGGATCATATTTTCTCCCCCATAAGGACAGAATATTAAGAAGTCAAATAAAGCTTGATCCATATAAAATACAACTAAGCCAGGCCAAGAGTTCATACCTAGCAAATTAATGTGAGTACATCAGTCAAGCAACAAATACCCAAGTAACTTTGACTTGACTCATCTTGCATATTTATATCGTGTAAACTAACATTTCAGGTAATGGTGCAAATGTGCCTCTCTGTGGCTGTAGATCACTTAATGCAATAACCCACACACTACGCTATTTCCAGCCACAGCATATTTTCAAATGTCAATCAGTTGGATGTTTATAGAACATTAAGCAGCTTGTTGTAAGGGCATTAGCAAAACGACGAGAGCTCAAGGATTCAACCTTGAGGTCTTTCTTTCTTTTCTTTTTCCCAATTCCCATCCTCCAAAAGGACACGCTAGAAAGAGAGATTAAAAAGCCTATGGCAATGCCACTAATTACATCAGAACCCCTTAAATCAGAATGAAATCTCTTCCAAATTCATGACTGTTCCAGAAATATGAGAAAGGTTTATTTATCCAAATTATAACAAAACTTGACATATAAAAGAAAGAAACAAATATAATTGAGATTCCTGAAACAAATATAGACAGAACTTCTAAGTGATGGGCTAATAGCAATAGGAACCAGAAATCCATAAGCAACTTGCTAAGTTAAATCATAGCACAAGGCAAAAGTAGTAGCTGAGGAAGCTTTGGGTTGTGTTCCAGCAGTAAGCAGAATATCTATTCGCATAACTATAAAATATTCAAAATTAGAAATATCACAAAAGGAATCTACCTCCTAATTTATTTCTCATCCAATCTACCTTCGAAGAGCACTAAATTAACTAATTTAATTAAGTAATTTAAGTCCAACTACACTGTCCCAACCCCGATCACGGATCATCCTTAATCATCCATCCATTTTCATTTATCCATACTCAAATTCTCAAATCTCAATCACAATAAAATATTAAGCAACAGGAGAACAATGTGTATCGTAAGTCTCGTGATTGTGTTTGTGTAGTGTGTGTAAACAAAATTCAAAATACAGTAAATACTTACTCAATAATCACGAATTCACGCCTCAAGGCCTCAATTTTTTCTCTCTCTCAGACCTCAGTGGCTCAGTCTCTCTGTGTATTTTGATTTTTGCAGCTGCTGGATTGGCGCTGCGGCGGAGCCTGGAGGACCGAGGAGGCGAGGACGGAGAGGTTGACTGGAGGAGACGCATCTGGACTGAAGTTTGCAGCATTTGGAGTCGCCTCTGCCTCAGCGCCGTAACAGTGGTCTGTGGACGGAGAACTGAGAAGCGAAGACGGTTTCAAGTAACTTTATTAGACAAAAAAACGTAAAGCTTACCATAGCCAAGAAGTTCTGAACAAAGCAACGGAGGCATATACAGTTTCTATAAACTGAGCTGTTAGGATTAGTCAAATCTTCGTATTCATCTTGGAAACTGCAACAAACACCACCCATTAATACCAGTTCCCAATATACTTTAATACGTCAAAAACCTTCCACTATCCCAATAGTTTCCTGATGTAATTATATGAACATCAAAAAATAAAATCCTGTGGCATGGAGATAATTTAATGATACGGAGAGAGGATTCGAGCTTGCAGAACTTTTCTTTGCAAACCAGCACCCTCTCTCTCACTCTCTCTCCCAAGTGCCCTTTTGAATATAGTAGGCCTTAAACACCAGATATAATATATTTTCACATACAAAAGGAAGAAAGGAACACTTGTTGGATCAGAAACTACTAACAAATAAAATTTCAACTCTAGGAAATCACTGCAAATTGCCATCAATGAACAAATTAAATTTTACAATTAAAGAGCATATGACAAAGTAGGTGCACAGAAATTATAGAAAATATTAAGTAATCCGGTCCACTCATTTCAGATATGCAATAAAATAGCATCATCTTTTAT